AGGAGGACAGCGTCATAGACCTGGCCTCCTGACAGCAGCATCCCTGGGGTGACAAGGGATCTGTAGGGGCAGGGCGTGTCAGCAGTTCAGGCTCATGATTCATTGGCCTAGAGTTGGAAATTTAGGCATGCAATAGCCAACACCCTGAGATTATGTTTGCTCTGTTTAGCACTTGCACACAAACAAATTATCCACCATGGCTAAGAGAAACCCATAGAACATTAGAATTATAGCACTGGAAGGTACAGCGAGGGTCATCTAGTCCAATCCCCTGCAATGCAGGAATCTCAGCTAGATCATGCATGTCTAAACTCTGCTTGAAAACCTCCATTGAAGGAGTGTCCACCCTCAACCATGCCTCCTAAGGCTTTGTTTCATCTTGGTTGCCTCCCCCATTTTGTCAATATCCTTCTTAAATTGTGGTGCCCAGAACTGGACACAGTGCTCCAAGTATATCCCAACACTTTATCTTCTCTTATTATAATGTATGCGGGTGGCACTGTGGTGTAAACCACTAAGCCTTGGGCTTGCTGACTGGAAGGTCGGTGGTTCGAATCCCCGCAACAGGGTGAACCCCCATTGTTCAGTCCCAGCTCCTGCCAACCTAGCTGTTCAAAAGCACATCAAAGGGCAAGTAGATAAATAGGTGTTGCTCCGGCGGGAAGGTAAACGGCGTTTCTGTGTGCTGCTCTGGTTTTGCCAGAAGCGGCTTAGTCATGCTAGCTACATGACCCGGGAAAACTGTCTGCGGACAAACGTCGGCTCCCTCGGCCAATAAAGCGAGATGAGTGCCGCAACCCCAGAGTCGTTCGCGACTGGACTTAACTGTCAGGGGTCCTTTACCTTTACCTTTATTATTATGTATATTTGTAGCTTCAAATATGGGGATACAATTATCATGTTACGAATAGGCTTATAATAAAAGTAAACAGCTGTCTTCTCTATTTTCTAAACACAATGTAATATATTCTCAACATAATTGTATCAGTGGACCAAAAAAACAAAAAAATCTAAATAATGGCATGAAGGCGTTGATCAAACCACAACGGGGGGGGGGGGAGATTCTCAATTTGCAGGTCAAGGATTTGCAATGGCTTTAAAATACTATATGCCAGGATTCCACCCAGTGAACCAGACAGATCAAGGATCAGTGTTCTAATTATGGCTTGTATCTGTATTGGCCATCTGTCAGGTGACAGTTCAGGTGTTGCTGAAAAGGACTAAGTCAACTTCAAGGACAAAAATGAGGTGTAGTGAAAGATAATAGTTGAATTTGCTATTGGGTCACAGCCAAGATGTGAATGGTTTGAACAGAGGATTAAGCAAATTGAAAGGTCTGGTTTGCTTGGACCAGGCGCTCTTTGGAAGCATAATACCATTGACTCTGTGCTGCCAGTCTTTTCTTCAGTCTTCATAAATAGACGGAATGCTGATTTTTTAAAAGTCTTCAATTAACAACACTATATATTAGTGCATGGCCTAGTTGTGCATTCAGTGTTGGGTGTGATTTTTGCAGGGTAGCAATGTTAGCCTCAAGTCTGACATGATTTAAAGCATGTCCTGTAAGCATTGCCGTCTAAACATTTTTGCATGTCACTTCACCAAATTGCATCTAAATCTTTTGTTCTGTGACATTTAGCATCATTCCATTCTAGAAAAGGTTGTTGCTTTTCTTCTCTATGACTTTTTGACCTGTCTTTAAAGTCAACACTCCAATCAGCCTTCATACTGACATACAGAAAATAGTGACATATTGACTTTTACAAGAAGACACACAACATGAATAGATGAAAACCCAGTGCTGGAGTTTCCATATGAGTGGAGCTTTTGGCAAAATAAAGTAAAGGTTGCTCCTTATAAGCAATGTTTATCTTTGTTTCTAAATATATATGATTCCTGTGTATTACTATCTTCTAAGTCCAGGTTAAGGATCTTTAGTCTGTAAATACAAATAGACTGGATGAACAAAACATAGCAGTGCATTTATTTTTCCACTGATACATTTTTCCTCCTTAAAAAAATCAGGTATTTGCTTCCACGGAAGAGTGAAGTGGTTTCTACTACATTTTCTACACACGTTTTTTTTTGAGAATTCAGGAAAGTTGGTTTAACAAATGAATACTAAAATTATGTTTGCTAAAATGGAGCTGCATTTCAATCACAGCTCTCAGAACAAGCCCATTCATATTTATAAATGAATATTTTGACAGCTGAAGAAATATACGAGTGCAATCTGGATTCTTCAGGTACTTTTATAAGTTGAGGTGGCAAATGGTTGTTAGCAGAAATGCCAGCAGAAGTATTTTTTTCTCCCCATGCATTTTCAGCAATTTAATCAATGAAGCATTTAAGAGGCATAATTTTAAATCATTTAATAAATGTAAATCAAAGCATATCCATTTTTTAAATATTTTTAAAGTCTAAATGAAAATGACACATTTTCCTCCCTTATGAAAATAAAATTACTCTTGTACTCACACAGTGCATACGGAATGAACAAGGCATGAACATACTGCACAAATTGCACAGATACCACAACAAACAAATGTCTGTCAATAAGTAGCCTTGAGTCCTGCCATGCACATATCTGGGCAATCCCTGTTCCCCCATGCCAGGATTGTCAGCATGACCTTGCACTGCACCTCACACTAATAATCTCTCTGTGCCTTACTTCTTTTAGGAAAGAAGTACATTATTTTGCAATTTCTGCTTCTTATGTAGACACTGCACATAGCATATTAAGTACGGCACTGAGATAATGTAAATAGAGATACGAATTTTCTTTGGGCTAGGATTCTATAGAGGTGGCCCTTTTTCGTGAAAAGGTTATAACTGCATAGACATTGGGAAATAGATGGTATCTCGCAGAACTAAGGGTTAGGACTGAGCCTTGCATTCTAATTTACCAAGCTAATAGCCTAGGAATGAAGCCATTCCAAATAGTACTCTTTTTTTGTTAACCTTGTTGCTGACTTCTTGTGTGTCACTGTCAGAGAACAAGGCGATGGTTCTAACACTCCTCAGCTCTTGCCCAATTAAAAGATCAAACTGGTTGTTTTTCTTCTAACTGGGTCATGGCAACAGATCAACAGACCAAACTATTGTAGGGGAGCAAAATTAGTCTCCTTAGTCTTGTCCTGGACAATAAACTGAGCTCACCTTGGAGAATACCCTCTCAGTCACTTCTATGCAAATCTTAGGACCTAACTACCCATAACATTAAATGTGTAGCATTCAATGACATCAATAGTTCATTTTATTTACTTGCAAGCATGGAAGGCATTTGGGATTGGGACCCCAATGTATGGGGAGAGGAAGTGTAATGATCCTTTCCCAGCTGTGATCCCAATGAAAACCCCCCCAGCTAGGATTGCCATATTTCAAGAAGTTGTTGAGCTTCTCTTTTGGGGCAATTGCCATGAGTTGTTGGGCTTGGGGGGGAAATCACCTGCTTACCCCCCACCCACCCAAGGCAGAGGGGCAGCTCTGGGCACACGATGGGCTCTGGCAGCTCCAGTCCCAGTGTGGCTCCCGAAAGCCACTGCCGCCACCCAGGTCTCTTGTCAGGAGTCCCCCGCCACTGCCTTCTCTAGTTCTCTCAGCCCTGCTGCTACTCACAGACTTCAGAATCTGGGCAGCCAGAACGATGCAGGAAGGGGAAGCAGCAATGGTGGCTTCCTTAGTGGCTGCTGCCAACCTGAGCCAGGAAAGAGGCGCACAGGCCTGGTGGCAAACTGGTAGCATGAGGGCCTTGTGAACTCTCACCTCCGGCAGGGTATCTCTATTTCCATTAGAGAAATGTTGCAGGGTATGATATGGTTTGCAAATAAAGAATATAGGTTGAAGGGAGGAGAGTCTATTTATTTCCTGGAAATTCCCTGCACCGCCTCTAATAGTTACCCAAAAGTAATGCTGAAATTATGAATGGTATTTAATGAAACCCAAAACCTCTATCCCACACATCTTTCAATTGCAGCATATTATGCCCTTCTCAGCCAATATAATATAATATAATATAATATAATATAATATAATATAATATAATAATATTATTATATTATATTATTATTATAATATAATATAATATAATATAATATAATATAATTATAATATAATATAATATAATATAATATAATATAATATAATATAATATAATATAATAATATATAGGATTGCCTTGCTTTTGACTCCTGTTTTCCCTTTCCAATACATTTTTCTCTTGCTTTTGACTCCCGCTGTCTGCAGCTTGCCATTTCCTATAGACTTATTTCCTAATTACTAAATTTAGTCTACATCTAGATTTACACCTGGCCATAAAATCACTTCACATCAGAAATGAGCCTAGTCAAGGTGTCAACAACACCCTGAGAGGCTACTGACTTCTTGACATGAAGTGGGGCATGAAGAATAGTCCTCTCTGTCTGCCCCACATTCTCCTGCTTCAAAATGCTTTTTGCAAAGCTGATCTGATTAGCTTATAGCTCTGACTGGGGTGGTGGTGGTCAGAATTGCATTTAGCCTCAAGAAAGCATCATTAAAAACATATTTTGTCATTTATCTACTTTTCAGTTTTCTAATGAATCACATTAGTTAAAGGTGGGAGGGAATAATAATAAAACAACTATCTGTCCATTTTTCTTTTGATCAATCTGCCCCGTTAGGCTCATTGGCATAGATTTCCCCCTCCTAACCAATCAATATGAAAGTCGCAGAGTCTGAAAGTGAGCTCTATTTGCTAGTCCCAACTCTCATTTTCAACAAATCTTTACGATGAGGATTGCTTTCTGCTCATATATATCAGCGTAAGCCTATGCAGGTCCACTCAAAAGTAAGTCCCTTTACCACTGAGGAGGAACCATTGTTTTGAAAAGGGAGCAAGGTGAGAGGAATATTACCATCACTTGCACTCCTGCCCCAGCTCCCAATAGTCCTCATCTATCTGTGAAGCTCTTCATCTGTAGCAAATCCACCTAGAGGCATTACGGCAGTTGAGCCCTACCTGGAGAGGCCAGGGATTGAACTTGGGACCCTCTGCAAGCAAAGCAGATGCTCTAACACTGAGCTATGGCCTTTCCCCTAATACTGAATAACAAACTGAATCACAATGATACAGGACAGACAAAGAAAGAGATAGGGCTGCTGCCAAATGCTGCAGATGCAGAATGCCAGAACCCGTAAAACAGAACAAGCACGAATGCTTGGAAATTGTTGTCTATTTTTGTTTGTTGTGCTTATGAGCACATGATTTTTTTTCTTACGATACTTAAAAAAGTCAATAAAAAGGATTTTTTTTAAAAAAAGTAGTAATTAAAGTAGCATCATTCCCTGTGTTTTAGACAACAGAATCCATCTTAAATGTATTAAATCCATATCCTTATTAAACGGAATCCTTCTAGATTTAGAGTGAGTGCATATATATTAACATATTAAAGTTTGCAATGTGGAGGATTTTATCTGGATTAACTGAAAACTTTTACAACTTTTTAGAAATCTCTCTTTCCCTGGCAGGGTGATCAGGTGGCCACAAACCAAGTGCGGACTCTCTTGGACAAGTTTGATTTTCTAGATTGAGTTCCAGACTCTACAGGGCATTCATCAAAGGGCCTTCTCTGTGTACTTCATCCAAGATCCAGTGTTGGATCCCCCTCTGTGGAACGCTCTCCCTGGGAAAATACGCTTGGCACTATTGTTGTGAAAGCTAGCAGGGCTTCATAAAAAAACTGGTCAGAAACTTTTTTAATGAAATTTTTGAGGGATTTTTTTGGCACGGTTTTCAGATACCTACAAAAATGTAGTTAAGGTGTGAAGAGCAGTTAACACATTTTCACTTGAGAAGAAAATGTGCTGTCAACTGAATTATGGAGACTTTCCTTTCCCCCTTTTTTCTGGATGAGGCTTCCTGCTGTGAAACATGGAGCACTAATTGGTTTACGGGTGGCAGACTGGGTGGATTAATCACCATTTGTGGGGTTTTGGTTACCTTTTGTTGCCTCCATATGGTTCCGATTTGTTATTATATCAGCAGCCGAGCAAGGTACTCAAACAATTTGATTAAACTTTATGATCACTCATTGGAAAAGGATGTCAGTATGCATCACTTCAGAATTTCAGTGCACAAGAAAACAAGGACCAATGCATTGGCAAAATCTATATCACCCCCATGGCTTCCCTCTCAACCCACAGCGCATGCACAAGATCAGGTTTCCTCAACCTCGGCCCTCCAGATGTTTTGAGACTACAATTCCCATCATCCCTGACCACTGGTCCTGCTAGCTAGGGATCATGGGAGCTGTAGACCAAAAACATCTGGAAGGCCGAGGTTGAGGAAGCCTGCACAAGATCAACCATTTTTTTGTCCCTGTGGAAGCTGGGTTTCAGAGGCTCTCTAGAGGAATTATTTTGGATTAGCCTGTTTCCAAGACACAAAAGACAACAGAAGACACAGGTATAGCATTCTCTTTCAACTAGACTTGTTGGCTTTGGAATCATTCCTTCTGCTGCTGAAGTTTCAGCTATGATTCCATCGCTTATGCAACTACAGTGGCACCACCAATTAGAGATGTGGGGGAAATAGGATTGTTTGCATTTAAAGGCAAACTTCCTTAATTCACACTTAATTTGCAAAATAATATCTGGAACAAATAAAATCAAAAGGACAAAAAGATAAGGTAAGGAAAAAAACCAAGAAAATTTGCACTTTCTGAAACAATTTGAGTTGAGCCATCAATCTGAGTTGAATTAATTTTATAATGAAATGATTTTAGAATGTTGTACTATTTTATTGTTGTTAGCCGCCCTGAGCCCGGCTTCGGCTGGGGAGGGTGGGATATAAATTAAAAATATTATTATTATTATTATTATTATTATTATTATTATTAATGTGCAACCGGAAACTCAGTAATCCTTTGAAATCCACACCTCTCCAAATTTTGAAATGCAGTTCTCCAACCAATATGTACAAAACTGCATAGATACTCACACATGCACAGATTCACTCCTAGTAAGTCTGGATACAAGCAAGCATTATATAATGAGTGGAAATTTGCTAACTGGATGCTTTCACTGGAGCAAGTCAGGGAGCAATTTTCACAATTTTCTCCTTCCTACAGACACTTATACTACTGAACTATACACTTGAGGTTTGGGAGACCATGCAGAACAGTGCAGTAAGTTGTGTGGGAGGCTGCAGGAGGAAAGGGACTTGTTAAAATTCCTCCCTCCCTTCCCCCATTGAAAGCCTTAACTGGCTTAAAGTCCCTTCTGTGAGTGGAATGAACTCTTCCATTTGCAGAAGGGGATGTCTTGATCCAACCCAAAATCTTCTCTATTCTTAGTATACTGTTACTGTTCTTATGTGGATTTTTTTTTCTAATAGAAAAAGACAGCTTATTATAAGTACAGTTTTGTGGGGTGAAGGGTTGTTGCTTTGCATTAGCAATTCCACCTTGAGGATATCCATCGGCCGGCTTGGGGGCTTCATTGAATTCTACAACCCACCAGCTCTCTTTGGCCTTTTTTACTAAAATCTGAAATGTTGCCTCTGGCAAAAATTTACACCTCATTAAGGAAGAGTAATTCCTCCTGTTGTTAATCTGGGCAGAGGTCTTGCACATGTTCGCTTTACAAACAAGCCCACCTTTATTTTATTTTTGACTGCAACATTTGGAAAATCTTAACTGGGCTTCAGGCAACAGATTATGCTTCAAAATATATTGTTATGAGTTGTGGATGCTAAGGTTTGTGGGTGGATTCCCCTAAATTTCTGGGTCTGATTCGTGATAGAATGTAATGGATGCTTGTAATTTTAAAATTGGCTGCCAGACACTGGATTTAGTAACATGTTAAAATACAAGCCCACCAAACGTCCTGTGTTCAGGAAATTGCCTGGAAGCTCAGCCATGAACCAAAGACAAAGGGGAGGTAACGGGCCATTAGGAGAGCCAAAGAGAGGGGACTCTGTGCCAGATGGAAAATGGGAGGGGTCTCTCCCTAAGCTTTGAGATAGTTAGCAGAGATGAAGCACAGTAGAGTTTAGGATTGCAGTTGGCCGTGATGTGAGCTGAAGGAAAAAGTTGCAGTTTGTAAAAGTCAGCCAGATGCAGAGAGAGAGCCATGGCCCATTTCTGTTTGAATCCAGAACTATGCCTATGGAGAACGCAAGACTCTCTTGGAGTGTAATGCTGGAAACCCCTCCATCATAGGCTCAGGTTGTACATATGTGTAAATAAACCATATATCATAAAGACACCACAGCCTCCACTGTGCCTCATTTCCCAAAGGAAACCCTCGGTAAGTGCCTGGAATCCCTGGAATCTCAGACTGCTCAGAAAACGGAATGGGATGCAGCAACATGTACAAAGAACAAGAAATAAAAAACAGAATGCACATGCTTCTGAGAGAGATTAAGAGAAACGAAACACAGAAAAGATTCATTTCATTTCTGCCTTTGTCTCAACATTTTTGCCATTTCTCTCTACAGGTACTTCATATTGCTTCCATAGGAAGCTGAACAATTGGGAAGAATTGGCACAGGGGAGAGATTCAGCTTGGTTCACAATTTAATGAGAAGCTCCCTAATTCCTATTTCCCAAAGCAATACATGACCTGAACTGTTGTGGTCTTTCTTTGAATTTTGTGCTGTCATCCTCCAACCAAAAGTTGTGGACAAAAATAGATATATTAGGGCAGGGTTTTTCAACCAGTGTGCTATGGCACCCTGGTGTGCCTTGAATGATGGTCAGGGGTGCCACAGGCAACACTGGTCTCTGTCCCTTCTTCCTTCCCTCCATTATCGGATGCCCTCTGCATCTCTGCCTCCCAAAAGTTTGTGTGACTGTTCGTTGCAGCAGCCCTGACTACAAGCTCCCCAGGCAAATGCTGCCTCTGGGGCTAGCAAGAGGATGCTGGTTGCCAGGAGCTGAGGTGGCCTCAGAGTGGACAAGCAAATGGGTAAGGGAGCTGAGCCAGTCCACCAACTCTTGCTGTTGGAAAATAACCAACAAGTGGGAGGCCAGGCAGGCGGGCAGGGACTGTGCTGGGCTTTCTTGTGCTTGCTGTGTGAAATGCCTGCCTGGGAGCTGAGTGCCTGGCTCCAGAGGGGAATCTTTCCACCATGCAGGCCCAGTGGCAATTGCTGCTTGCCACTGCTGCCTCCCAAGGTGAGATGCTGGTCTCACATTCACCTTTGGCCAGTCTCGTTGGGCCGCTAAGACTGGGGGCTTCTTCTTCCCAGGCCCCTGGGGGGGCGTCGTGAGGAGGCACCTCTCTTTGGGGAGGGGTGTGTGGCTCAGAGACTGGGGCAGTGGTGGCTGCTGCCCAGAGGACTCCCGTGGAAAGGGGAGAGGAGTCTGAGAGAACACTCCACAAGGGAAGGTATCTGAAAAGAGCTGAGGGGCTGCCAGCTCTGCAGGCAAGGGGTGACATGACTGGGCTTTCGAGGCTTGGAGCACGTTTCTCCATAGGGGAGACGTAGAAAGAATGTAGCTAGTCAAGGGAGCCATAGACTCAAAAAGGTTGAAAACCTCTGCATTAGGGGCATAGATGGTTATAAATGAAAATATGCATTGCATTAGGGGAAAACAGGATAAAACCATGTACATTAGGCCTATATAGTTTTGGTAGACATGCTGGTGAATGCATCGTGCTGTATTTAAAGAATTTAAATTCATTTAGATTCATATTGATCCAAGAATGAAGTGGATTGAAATTAAGATTGTGCAAGTGAGTAACAGAGAAAGATTGAAATGGACAGGCGCATCTATCCCTTGTTGTGCTAAGCATTCCTGTCAGGGAACTGCCATCGGTTCAGGGGCAAGAGGGGAAAAGCTGGATGGATTACAGAGAGCCCCCGAAGAAGCAGCACTTCCTCAGTGGAGGAAGGTAGCCACGCCTCTAGTGGAGAGGAGAAGCTGGGGGCGGAGGAGGCAAGGCGGTGCCAGGACACATTGCCGGAGCAAAGCGGGGAGGAGGGAGGTCCCCCGTTACCCAAGCCTTCCTTGCACAGAAAGCTTCCGCGCAGAGAAGGGACGCGCAGACTGGGCGTCAAGAAACTACTCTGCTGGGGAAGGTTTAAGGA